TGTCATTAAAATGGAAATAAAACACATTATACCATATTTGCTTCATTAGGAAGCACATGCACTTGTGTAAATTACTGAATGATTTACTACACAGTAAATATGATTTTTGGTTTGTATGCACTCCATATTGGACATGCACTTCTAATAGAGTAAATACAGTATTTGCTCCATTAAATGTGCATCTCCAGTACAGGCATACAAAGCCACAAAGCTTTGTCTTGCAGGTGTAGAAGCATAACAAGACCTACACTGCCATCTGTTGTATCATTTACGTAACTGTAAGCGTCTATCAGAGTGAATGCAACTACCGACATGTTTCAAATAGAGAAAATACTGTAAAATACTATATTCTCACTTAGAATTTATTTTCGATATATCCACTGAAGGAATGATTCAGTGAAAGCAAAATCCGGCGAATAAACCTTTTTTTTCTATATTTCACATTCAACTTGTCAAAAATCCGTGAAAATAAACTCCATACAAAACACCAAATCTTTTCAGCGAAAATTAATTTCAGCTAAAATAAAGTATTTTACAGTACAGCATTCATAAATTACACTATTCTTTTTCCATCTGGATGCAGTTAAACAGCTGCCCATGGTTTCCTATGTTAAAGTGATGTCATGCAGTTAGTCAAGGCAACAAATAAACACATCTGCATTCCTGAGTCTTCCTATATCTGCTGTTGATAGTGTTAGTAAATATAAATTACTACCTGCAACCCTAAATTCAGTCATTGACAAATTTAGAATTTTATTTCAAATGACAGGTTGGAATCAAACATGAGAGATCTTAGGGAATTCAAATAAAAAATCAAATCCATTTAATTTCTTATTATAATCAGGTTTAAAAAAATTTTTCACATACATGTACTGGATCCAATACTGTAAAAGAATTATTTTCACTGAATTTTAAATAATGTAATTTCAAAATTTTGATATACAATGTAATGAATATATTCACTGGGTTTTAAATTTATAGATTTATGTTGATTTTTTTGTAATTTTTCTCAACATTTAATGTACATGTGATGATTAAAGTCTTCAGAATGACCACAATATGGTGTTTATGAAATAAATCATTTTAATTTGAAATAAATTGCAATAGAGAGGGGTCATTGGCATCTTGTTTCTACGCTTGTTTAATGAATCTGCCACGTTTATTGCTAAAACCAAATAACACAATATAATTAACCCACCCACTGATCTCTCATAGTAGATTAATAAAGGGTTAATTAAGGTATGCCTTAAATAAAATCAACCTGTAGGAAAATGTAAAACATTGAATGTTGGTATTTGTCAATGACTAGAGTTAATGACAGATGCACTGTTATCTGCAAGTAAAATGATGCATGCATTAGTAATAGGGATGATGTCTACAAGCTGAGAAGGGGAGGGGGGTAGCCAGATACTAAGTACACTGAACTCAAAGATATATAAACATTCTACCAGGGGTATGTACTTTATGTAAACACAGACAAAAATACACTCCTCTGTATATACTGGTAATGACTAACAGCAAAACTACATGTGGATCAGAGAAATATTCGTGGTATTACTTTGCAAATAGGAACTGTGATCAAATTAATATCACAGGTCTAGATCGAAGAAATATAGTTGGTGTTACTGCGGGAATGAGGACTGTGATCAAATTAATATCACGATGAGACATAAGAAAGAAATAATGACTTATTGTATTTCTTTTTCACTACAAAAGAATGTTTCGAAACGATTTTCCCCGTAAATTCAATTAATAGTTTCAGAACTACCGAATAAAAATCAATCACATGTTTTTCTACTTTTAATTGTTTGTTTTTTTACTTTTAATTGTGAATTTTCTTGGTGGTAGAATAACCAATAACTCAACTAAAAAAAGAGGTATACAAAATTGGTTTAGATGAGAAAATGTCAAAAACTTTCATGCCAAAAAGAAGTTATGCAGGTATGTCTCGGACAAATGAAAAGTTCACACACATCAGTGTATGTTTGACATTATCAGTATTGACAGTTGGAATGTTCATTTTGTATTATTTATTTATTTATTATCCATGCTACTGGAAAAAACCCAACTGTGAATAATTTGTATAACTAAACACATTCCAATATTCAAATTATAAGCTGTAAATATCGGAGTGTTCAGTGTTGTATCAGATAATCTGGCTATCAAATAATTGTTTAAGGTGTTTGTCTTATTCTATACAAAAATTACATTTTCAGCGAGTCTACAGATCTATAAAAAGTTCATCCAACTGATAAGGCCCAGCAAAAGAATTTCTTTATTTTTAAAATTTTTCAAATAATTGTGCTTTTATTTTTTTTTTTCAAAACAAATGTTATTTTCCAAAAGCTAGAAGCGACATAACATGAATTGTTTTGGACCTTATAGGAATGGTGAAGAGCACCCTCTAGAGGCAAGTTTTGGATTTCTTTTCAATTTCCTCTACTGGTGTAAAAGGTCAATTGAAGTCAATTGAGAACGTGGAGAACAAAACAAACACCTTAATGAGAAAAAAATTTTCAATTACCGCGGACTTTAGGCTTGTTGACTTCTGGCTGAAGCATTATGGTTGTTTTCACCACCTTAGATGAGGGAGAGGGAGGAGGGGGATACTGGTATTCTTGAGGGGGAGGGGGCACAGCGGGAGGTGGAGAGGTAATTGTTCTGTCATTATCATCCTTGGATACAGGCTTAAAGTTGATTGGTTGCCATGAACGGGAAGTAGATGCTGAATAAAGAGAAAAGATAATATATTAGAATTATAACAGAAAATATTCCCCTCATGTCTTCTACATGTATAAGTAATAAAACGATAAATTATAGCTTCAACAAAAACAAATTAGTTTTCAAAAAACTCAGTAGGTTACTTAAAAAGTTACGTTAATGATGTAGCTTGTTACCATGGCAACAGTCAGTCAGTCACGCTACACGTAAAAATGCAAATTTATATCTCACATCAAATAAAAAGAAAATATTTAGCTGAGAGCATTAAAGTAATTTATTGAAAAGATTAGGCGTTAGCAGATATATTTCCATTACTGTTCGTATAATGTATTGCTCCCAGAAAAGCCAAGATGGCCGACCACAACTGGACATTATGTTATGGGGCTTTGCTTCGTTCACTTGATTTCAGTTAAACTTTATATGTCTCGATGTGGTATTATGTTTCTAACATCGAAGAGTTGTCCAGCAGTACAAACGGAGTCACATGAAATAGATGATACGTTCACAAATATTTGCTGTTAAACGAGTCTAATCATTACTGTACAAAGATAACGAAAATGTTGTTATTACTGAAAAGTTAACAAAAAAAGAACTTTAGTGTCAGGAATATAAATAGTTTTATTTTTAACCTAATGTAGCATAATGAGATTGAAAAAAAAGCATTAAAAAAAAAAAAGCAGCAAACTCTTGAATTTGCAGGAAGCATTATGAGGAAAAAGATTACAAACCATCCAAACTATTAGATCTAGGTCTTATGGTCAGAGTGGTTTTCACTTTTTGTTGTTGTCGAGGTATAAACACCGAACTGTGCCCTCGTTTGTTGTCAGGACTGCTAGACCGAGGTGGAGGATGCGGAGGTCGAGAGTCGGTCTCTCTGATTAGTTTTATTACGTCAGATTTTGCATCAGACGGTTGATCTCCGGGTCGCTGTAAATGGCAAGTTGTGGAAGGAGCGTAACTAAGACTGGGAACTGAGAGGAGAAAATAAATGTAGTCGTTAGAAAGACAAAAACATTACAAAGATCAGATTGAGAGCAACATGCATCAACTTTAATCATGCGAGAGTATTCATTATTTTAACAAAGATATTCTAGTTGTTAACTGAGCATACCAAACTTTAACTATTAGTGAAGAAAAGTGGAAATTTATTGTTTTTGTTGACATATAGCAGAAAACAACAGAATACAAAACACACAGACAATAAACCCTTGACGATGAGTTCAAGCAACAAAGTTGATTTTCAAGGAAGTGAAGGAGACAAGCACACGAAAACTGCAATGTTTGAGCTATTTCAACACTGGTTCCCATGGGGAAATGATCGAGTCATATCTGAAAATATCATTTAGTGACACATAGTATGTTGTTATAAGATGGGTAATACTGATTAATTATTAGATTCTGAGGAATACTATTTACTTTCCATGAAACAATGCTTTAAATTTACATTGATTCCTAGGGAAGTTGTTCCCAGCATTTTTGAAGATTTTGATAAAATCATGATTTGTAAAAAATACTCCGAAGACTATGTTATATAACCAAACCTATAATTAAGTAGCATTTTAAAAACAAAATGGCGTGATACAATTTCCACCAGATTTAATAGGTTGTAATACCAGTGAACGACCTTAATTATAGGTATATATCTTAGTGGTCAAGATAAGGGTTATGGAAAGCAGTGGAACTCCCTGTCAAGCAGTGTGTGGGTTTGAATCCTACCACATACAGCAGTAAGAAGCATCTTTCACCCAAGAAAGAAACTTCTTGTGGGGCTGTACCCTCTCACAGCAGTTTCCACACATGAAAAGGTTTTGACAAGCACTACTGAGCTTCCTATCTCACCACTGTCAGTTTTTTCTTTCTGAGGCTGTTCCTCTCATAGTGGTGGTTTCCACACACAAAGCCTTGACAAGCACTACTGAGCTTTCTATCTCACCACTGTCAGTTTTTTCCTTCTGAGACTGTCTCATAGTGGTGGTTTCCACACACAAAGCCTTGACAAGCACTACTGAGCTTTCTATCACAGGTCTTAATGGTAGCTACCATTCACTGCCTCTCTATGTCAGTTTTACCCTTCTGAGGCTGTTCCCTCCCACAGCAGCTTCCACACATGAAAATGTCTTGACAAGCACTACTGAGCTTTTTATCTCAAGTTGTCAAATAAAGATTATTGTGATTTATATGATGTTAATAGAAAACATAATTCCTCAAAATACACTTCCCCAGTGATCCCACCTAGTTGCTTATCGGTGAAAACTTCTTCAAATTTTCTTTAATTTCAGTAATACAATAATTTAATTCATTCTGATTGGAAAATGAAAAAAGTTGTCTTGCTCAATACTGATGTTGAAACAAGGTTTCCAATGTTGACTGAAAAAGAGAATAACTAACGGTGTAACTATATCTCACTTTCTTATTGCAGACAAACAAACCTTTTTTTTTTCTTTTTTTTATAGTAACACAGATCAATGAGCAAAGAACCAAATTACATTTCTGGAAGGAGAGTAATTAAGTTCCAGTCTTCCTGCAGTAATGAGCTAGTCATTAATTGCGACAAGAACTATATGGACAAGAACAGCACACAGGACTGACAGTTTTATGTCCAATCCAACTGAATGCTATCCTTGAATCTAGAAATGCCACAAGCCTGGCAAGTAAGTAACTGATGAGTGGGCAGCTGTTAAGCCTACCATTTGGTGATAAGTGTAAATCTCTGAATGTCATTACATAATCACATCTGTAGCACTACAGCATATACCATATGATTGATGGCAGTATCACATGCCCCGACACATGTATCATAGATATTACATAGTCAATTTGACATGAGCTCTGTGTGCTTGATAAATCATTGCCTGACAACTTTGTGATATTATGCCAACAAACAAACTAACAACAAACAGTGAGGGTGGGGTGGGTGAACTAATTGTAATGTCAGGAAATGGAATATTACATCCAGAGGCTCGGTTTCGACTAAAGGTAACAATATTGTTTTTTATTTAATTCAGCCACCTTCAAAACCAATTATTTATTCATGGTACAATTCATGGCAGTATTACTGCTACTTTCAAGTTGATTACCAGCTTGTTCGAAGACTTGTCAAACAGGAAGAAGTTAACATTTTTTCAGATGCCTGTAGCAAATAGAAATACTATGACACAGACTTAAACAATACTTTTCCTGATATTTAATTTATCAAATTTAGAATTGTCACCCCCAACCCCCTGGTAATTCTACTGTGTAAAATCATTTGTCATCATCAGTTGTAATTACTTTTTGTAAACTGTTTTCATTTTGCTGTAAATTACCAAATTATACCTGTAATACCAAAACACCATTCATAAGGACAAAGCACATGTTGGAAGTACTGAACCTGCTTGCCAAATTAAGGTATTTTCCGGATTGTATGCAGAACTACCCAAGCCTGGAAGTATATATAGATCTAGGTATTATAAAGTCGACAGTCAGAAGTTTTGACTGTTGAATAGAGATTTCTTTTATTGTATATGTGTAACATACTGGTAGTTGTCAATTGTAGGAAGGAAATAACATGCATGATATAAAGATATAACGAATGAAGTTTGCTTTCAATACAGCACGAAACGAGAGATTACAGGCTTGTCTGATTACATGTCAACAAATAAAAGCTTACAATGCGGAGAGTACTTAATTTTACTTTTCATGCGTATTGAGGGTACAATGTCAGAAGAACCAACTCCAACAGTTTTCTGATTAAACTAGACTGCGTTGCAACTGCCCTCACACGCAAACACTGGGTTAAAGAGATGGGATGAGTACGTGTTGTCAGTTGTCAGTTTTGATTAGACTTCACACTGACTGTCATTTCAGTGTACAGCTTAATTATGAATTCGAGTGTCTGAGAGATTAAAGAAAATGTGCAGCTAGTAGAAGACAAGATAATAGAGCACTGAGACATGTGTCTATTAGGAATGCTCCCTGTGTGTGCAACACATACAAGTCAGACAGACAGTGGCCGCCACTTGTTTTCCAGTCTGTGGCACACTGGAGTTACTGTAAGCTCATTTATTTGGTAAAAATCGCCTATAAAACTGAACATCAATGGGACTGACAATAATGTCCAGTTTATAGACATGCTTAGTTTTAATGGAGATCTTTCTTTTTTTCCAGGCAGGTCTATCACTACAAAGAGTGGAGCGGTAAAGACTGTATGCATTAATGTTTAGCAACAGTCTATGAGAAATATGAATTATATGTGGAACCAGTCAGTGACCACAAAATGAAATCTTGATGTATCTTGTGTTCATCTCAATTGTACTCAACTCGACTCATTACGTTACTTGTGTAAGCTGCTCTTTTGTTCAAATTTAATCTCTTAACCGTTTCACCACAAGTTCCCTATTTTCATCACAACTTCACAAAATAGTCCCATTTATGGTCTGCACTTTCCTTCTGAAGATTAGGACAAAAATAGCCAAATGTTTCGAGTAAAAACTGAAAATTGACTTAAATTTTGTTTGTTGGCTCCAAAATTAGGGTCAATTTCCAGAAATATTAAAGAATATAAGAAAAAGTTGCAGAAAAATGTGGCTGAGAAAGTTTGATGGTGAAAAGGTTAATGACAACAGAAAATAAACTTTACATGGTAACCACACTGTGGATTTTGAAAACGAAAGATGAACA